TGATAGTTACCATCTTTTCTCTTTATTTTTTCTTCTCAAATGAATATACTCTATATCTCTACCTTCTCACCTCTCATTTAGTCCTTAAAGTCTTTAAACAGTGGTCTTCTGGCTTCTTCCCTCAATGTTTAATTGAAATTCCATTAGAAAAGTTTACTAATGATTTCTTCATAGCTAAATATAATGTATACTTTCAGTTTTTCTCTTACTCAATCAGTCTGCTATATTTAATATTGTCCATGATATCTTTTCTTTTCTGGATTTTTAAAAGTAAAGATGACACCTGCTTATTGTAGAAAATGTAAACATTATAGAAAAACATACAAAAGGAAATGATGCCTCCCCAATATGAAGAGATAACTGTTTACATTTGACAAACTATTCACTCAACAATATGTTGTAGATACAGTATTCCACTGTATATGTATACTATAATTCACATAACCTATTTTTAAATTTTTAATAATTTTATGTATGTATGTATGCATGTATGTATGTATTTAGAGAGTGCATGTGAACAGAGGGAGGGGAAGAGGAAGAGGGAGAGAGAATCTCAAGCAGACTCCAAGCTCACCACAGAGCTCAATCGTAGGGCTCAAATGTGGGACTCAGTCCCTTGACCCTGAGATCATGACCTGAGCCAAAATCAAGAGTCAGACATTTAAATGACTGAACCACCGAGGAGCCCCAAACCTGTTTGTTATTGATGGACATTTAGGCTTTTTCCAAATTTTTTTATATTTAAAAATTGCTCAAATGAAATTCATGAACACATACCTTTGAAGATTATTGTCCTCACCTTGAAACTTTATTCTCCTTCTGTGTTTTTCTGTAACTCTTATTTTTTTTTTTCTGATAGCAATCTGGCTCTTAACATTCTAGCTAATTTTCTGAAGTCTTATTTATAAGCTTCACTCTCTCTGGCAACCTCTTGCTTCTTGTTAAATTGGATCCAATGCTCAAGTCTTTTTTCGTTTGAAATCTCCCCAAGGTAATTTAACTTTCTCTCATGTCTTTAGCCTTCACTCAGTGACTGCCAATCCTACATGGCTAACGCAAGTCACATTCCAGAACGCCAACATCCATACATCTAATTTTCTATATGCAGCTTCATTCAGATGTCTCATAGCCACCTCAAACTTTGACTCCAATACTGAATGTAGACCTTTCCTGAAAGTCTGTGCCATTTCCTACATTATCCAGTCATTTGTATTGCCTTTTATCTAGTCTCACAAGCCTGAGTCTTGTCCTTTCCTATTCTCACCCTTTGTATGCAATTAGTCATTAATTTTAGTGTAATCACATCAACATTTCTCATGTATATTCCCCTCTCTATTCAAAATTCTGCTGATTTTATTTTAGACCCTTTCACTTCCTGTCTGCATGAATACATAAGTGATCTCATTGCCTTCATTCTTACTTGCATCCAATCCAACTTCCATGCTATAAAATTGTTTCATAAACACTCAAACATGGCCATATCATTCTATTTAAAATAAGCATTATCTCCCAATTAACTTCACTTTAAGTCTCATAGAATGAATTCCAACATCCTTAGAATCACATCCAAAGTTTTTATGAACTTCTCTTTGCCTGTCTTTCTAGATGATGTCAGGACTAGGTCGGTCTCAAGGAACTGAAGTTAGAATGAATTATGCTATTCTAAGTGTCCAGTAGCAAGAGAACCAGCAAGCTGAATATGAACCAAAGTTTTTAAGGGCTTTTTATAAGGTCAGGGAAACAATAATATCTGATAAATATTTAGAGTATCAGTCAGAATGAAAATGACAGAAAGAACTAAGAGGAGCTGGACAGAACTGAAAGGGAAGGAGAATAATATCATGAACACAACAATTAAATGCAGGAAACTATCACCAAGAGTCCTTGTAACATCTGTGACGTTGAGCTTATGATGAGTAGATATGTTTGGTTGATTTAAAGGGTCAGAATCAGGATGGAAACTGTCCAGAAAAACTATGATATACCTGATCATCTTTTTCTTTTCTTTAAAGGACTTTGTTGGCTTCCTAACAACTATATATTTTAGAGGGGCTCTGTGATAAGGCTATTTCCTCTCTATGTAGCCTTACTTTTAGCCATTGCTTTTTTTTGAAATTTAGACTCCATCAACATGAACACATGGTGCTCTTTCATATTCCTGTTTTTTTTTTTCCCACATTGTGTTTGCTCTGCCTGGAATGTTCTTCATGTCTTCATTTCCAGGGTGAACTTTTATTCTTTAAAACTCCTGTACAGACATCACCAATTCTAGGAAGCTTCTCTAAATGCCCTTTCTCCCAGAGCCATAAACCCATCTATCCATGTTTTTGTTTATTATTGAACCAATATTTATTGAATACTTAATGTTAGCCACATGGCATGCTAGATACTAGAAGCACCATGGTGAATAAGAAAGATTAAACATGGCCTTTACTCTTCTTGGCCTTATATTTAGTGGTGGACACAAACACACATACACACACACACACACATTCAAATAACCAGACAAATGAAATAATCACCAGTTTGATAAGTGTTGTGCATAAAAGATATGAGGAACTGTAATACAGAATAATGTGTATGGGGAAAGGTACAAAGGCAACATGCTTTAATATAAAGTTGATACTTATGAAGTGGCTGGTATTTAACTGTTTCTGTCCCATATAATTGGCAATTTTATGTAGTTCCACCTAATAGTTTCTTTTCGGAGGAATTGACATTTAGAGACCTGGGCACCTGGGTGGCTCAATGGGTTAAGCATCCAATTTTTTTCTTAAGCATTTTATTTATTTATTTAGTTAGTTAGTTAGTTCAGTTAGCTAACATATTAGTTTTTGATGTAGTGTTCAATGATTCCTTAGTTGCATATAACACCCAATGCTCTTCACATCATATGCCTTCCTTAATACCCATCAACCGGTTACCCATCCTCCCACCCCCCTCCCTTCTGTAACCATTCCCAGAGTCCAGAGTCTCTCATGGTTTGTCTCCTTCTCTGATTTCTTCCCATTGAGTTTTCCCTCTCTTCCTCTTTGGTCCTCTGTGCTATTCCTTATGTTCCACATATGAGTGAAACCATATGATAATTATCTTGCTCTGCTTGACTTATTTCACCTAGCATAATACCATCCAGTTACATGCATATTGATGCAAATTGTAGGTATTCATCCTTTCTGATGGCTGAGTAATATTGTATATATGAACCACATTTTCTTTATCCAGTTCATCTATTGAAAGACATCTTGGCTCCTTCCACAGTTTAGCTATTGTGGACATTGCTCCTATGAACACTGGGGTGCATGTGGCCCCTCTTTTTGCTATATCTGTATATTTGGGGTAAATACCCAGTAGTGCAATTGCTGGATCCTGCAGGCTTATGCAGCCATTTGGGAAAGTGTCCAGTTCTTGATTTCAGCTCAGGTAATGATCTCAGGGTCATGAGATCAAGCCCCACATTGGCCTCTGCTCTGGGCATGAAACCTGCTTAAGATTCTCTTTCTCCCTCTGACCACCCCCCCCTCTAAAAATACATACATACATACATACATACAAATAAATAAATAAATAAATAAGCTGAGACCTGAAGAATGGGGTAGCATGGGCCATGATGGCTAAGCTTGGAGCTTATCATGTTCCAGAAACCAAGAGAAGAAAAGATAGAATTGAGTAAAGGGGTGATGAAAGTAAGAGAGATGGGTACCTGGGTGGCTTAGTTAAGTGTCTGCCTTCAGCTCAGGTTATGATCCCAGGGTCCTGTGATGGATCCCCACATCAGGCTCTCTGCTCAGCAGGGTGTCTGCTTCTCCTTCTCCCTCTGCCTATTGCTCTACCTACTGCTCCACCTACTTGGGCTCTCTCTCTCTCTCTATCTCTCTTTGCCAAATAAATAAATGAAATATTTTTTTAAAAATTTAAAAACTAATAAAAAGAAACAAAATGGATCATATAAGACTTTTATAGGAGTCTGGATTTTATTTTCATTAAAATATAAAACCACTGTATTATTTTAAGACCTACTGGTTGTAGTGTGGGGCTGGAATTGAAGAGAGTAAGGGTAGAAATAAAGGTATCAATTAAGAGGTTGATGTAAAGAGACAATATAGTGTTACGTTAGGTGTTCGGGATTTGGAGTCAGGCTGCCTTGGTTTAAATCCTAGTTTGGACATTTTTTAGTTGTTAGTTTATGCAAGTTACTCAAATTCTCTAAGATTCAGTTTCTTCATCTGTGAAATAGGGATAATAATATAATCATCCTCATAGAATTAGTCTAGAGATTAAATGAGATAATCTGTTACAAAACACTAAGCAGTCCCTGGCAGATAATACTTAATTGATAATAGAGATTAATAGTCCAAGTGAAAGATGATGGCATCTGTACTAAATTGGTGACAATATATTTGGAAAAAAGTGAATAGATATGAGACCTATTGTCAAGGCTTAAACAACAGGATATAGTAATGGATTAGATATAAGACTTGAGGGACAGGATTTTTCAGGTAAGACTCCAGGTTTCTGTCAGAGTGGATTGTACTGCACTTTGTTAAGGTGAAGGAGATCTGCCTCATATAGAATTCAGCTGTAGAAATTTATTTCTTTTTATACTACATAAGGCCAAATGAAAGAAAGAAAAGCAGTATCATATAAAATGAAATATTTATTTAAAAATTAAGTAAGTCAGAACCTTACATGAGGTATAAAAAATACTGTATGTTATATTCATACCACAATATCTTAAGTATGCAAAAGTCTTAAATGTGCATATTCTTTTTTCCAAAGGTCTAAGATTTTGAAAATTTCTACTATACTATACTGATAGGTACTGATGAACAATTGAGTTTATGTGTTTATTTTGTCTCATATTAAAGGCATTTTGTAACCATTCCTTCTGCTTCTCTAACAGAATGGAGCCTGCTTGATATACCAGCAGGTGAAGAACCAAAGGATAGTTTATCTTTACTCTTCTTGGCATTGAGAGTCTGCTCTTGGAACGATCAGGCACCATGGGGAAGCGAGATAATCGAGTGGCCTATATGAATCCTATAGCAATGGCCAGATGGAGGGGCCAGACTCAATCTACAGGCCCAACAATACAAGATTATCTGAATCGACCAAGGCCTACCTGGGAAGAAGTGAAGAAACAATTAGAAAATAAAAAGAAAGGCTCCAAGGCATTAGCTGAATTTGAAGAAAAAATGAATGAGAATTGGAAAAAAGAATTAGAAAAAAGTAGAGAGAAATTATTGAGTGGAAATGAGAGCTCTTCTAAAAAAAAAGAAAAAAAGAAAAAGAAAAAGAAGAAATCTTGTCAGTCTTCATCTTCTTCATCAAGCTCTGATTCTTCAAGCAGTTCTGATTCTGAGAATGAGGAAAAAAAACAAGGAAAAAAGAGAAAGAAAAAGAAGAACCATTCATATAAATCATCAGAAAGCTCTACATATGAATCTGAATCAGAGACCAAGGAATCTGTGAAAAAGAAAAAGAAGTCAAAGGATGGCACAGAGAAAGAAAAGTATATTAGAAGTCTCAGCAAAAAAAGAAAGAAGACTTATCCTGAAGATAAACCCTCATCATCAGAGTCCTCATCAGAATCAGATTACGAAGAGGAAGTGCAAGCAAAAAAGAAGAGAAGACATGAAGAGCAAGAAAAATCGACAGAAAAAGCAAAGAAGAAGAAGAAGAAACAGCGCAAGAAACACAGTAAGAAGAAGAAAAAGAAGTCGGGTTCAAGTCACAAGTCAGGATAACAAGAAAAAAAATAAGATTTTCCTGTTTAATAAAGCAACAATTTAAGGAAATATCAACTGTGAATGTTAGGGAATATTTTAAAAAATGCATGAATTTCCCTTTGTTTGTAGAATTATTCCTGACTGAGTGCCAGTCATATGCCACTGTGCCAGAAAGGGCCATAACCATTGCCTGGAGCATAAATATATAATTTTGTTTGTGTGTGTGTTTTCCCTTCCAATGGTTAATTCTTCTGAGAGCTAAAACCCTGTTGTTCCTACTAGTAGTTAAAACATTTGGAATTGAATTAAAATGTTTTAGATAATAATTTTGAGCCCCCAAATATATCTAATTTTAAAATATCTAATTTGGATATATCTTTTTTTTCCCAAGGTTTTATTTGAATTCCAGTTAGTTAACATACAGTGTAATATTAGATTCTGGAGTAGAGTTTAGTGATTCCTCACTTATGTACAATACCCAACAATCATCACAAGTGCCCTCCTTAATACCCATCACCTATTTAACCCATCCCCTCCCCTCCTCCCCAGAGTATCCCTCAGTTTATTCTCTACAGTTAGCATTCTCATTCCTGGTTTGTCTCTCTCTTTTTTCCCTGTATGTCCATCTGCTTTTGGATATATCTTTAAAATATAATCAGAAATATCCAGACAGCTATAGTTGACATTTTTGAAGCGTATAATTAATGATGTCTCAGAATCCTTACTTTTGAAGTTTAGTTTATTTTACTTCTTAATAAACTTTAGTTTACACGGGGAAAGGGCTTGTGGGGGAAAAAGAGTTCGCTACCACTTTGGCTAGCTGAATAGTGTGCCTTTGATATTTACACATCCTATTTTTGCCAGTGCAGCAGCCATTCTTTTCTTATTTAGTGAAATTCTGGAATGTTGTATGCTGCTTCAAGTGAACAAGAAGACAGGAAGGAAAAGTAAGCCCCCAGTTCTATGAAATTTATCTCCACTTCAACAGTACTGAATAATGTTTAGCATTAGAGTGTTACCTTATTTGAATTAACTTTGATACCCTTTGGAGGGGAATCATTTTAAATAAACCCTGGTATTTTTTGATTAATAAAGATTCCAAAATATTTTGCATGTTTTATACTATTAATTTTTGATTATCCAGGGATATTCTACATAACCAGTAATCCTTTTTATATGATTTATGCTTAGGATACAAGTTTGTAATTTCCTAATCTTACTATATTTCATTACTAGGTTTAATTGCACACTTGACAAAATACTTAGCATGTAAAAAGAAGGTTTTTGAAAAAATATTTAATGCCTTCATATTGAAGCTTGTTTATTGTAAGCAAGTTAAGTGCCAGACCTCTAGTACGCTATGTGTCTTGTTACATAAAACTACTGCCAAAATCTTAGTAAGTATGCTGTTTAAAAGCTCAGTGTGTTAAGCATTAGTATTGGATTAAAATAGGAATTCAATTTAGGACATAATGACACCTTTGATCTTCCTGTGTCATATTTTACTAAGATTTGGTGCCTCATGCTTGTTTACCACTAATGCTGAAATGAGTTGAAAGAATTATTTTTATTTTACATATTGATATATCAGAGTAATATGAATCAATTGATGTCTCAGAAAGAACTACCTGTTACAGAGGATGTGCTAATTGTAATGTCATATTTACAAAGTATTTTGGCATGATGAGAGAATCAATAAATTTTTAATAGCTGATTTCACATCAGCTCCCTTGAATCAAAGGTAAAGTTATTATAAAGATAGAGAATACCAAGTAAATAAATATTGGCTTCCCAAATTTTTGCAGTTGAAATGCCGGAATCTCTCAGAAATGCTCTTGAAACATTATAAATGTAATGTCATGTTAGATCATCTTAAAGTTTCATAATTTTACTTGTTTGCTAAAAAAATAATTGCTGATAAAAATATATTTAAGGGATATTTTATATCCACATAGAGTTTTCCAAAATTGTTTTTCATTAAAATATGAAAAAAGCTTATATTATTTGTAGAATATGGCAAAGACATTAACAGCTTACCAAATATCTGTGTGCTCCCATTCACTTCCCAGCCTCTTGTAGTTAGGCAGTGCCATTTGACTACTTCTAGCATAGGGATTGCAGAAATTGTAAACAGAAATAAGGTATCATTTCATAATGGAGCAGCGAAATGTCCTGCATGACCTTCCAGCTCTCTCAGTGTACTCCAAATGGTATACCTACAAGATGGATGCAGACTGTATCTCTTAAGTTACTGTTTATTAGGGACCAGGCCTGGAGAGTTGATGGACTTGCTGTGAACCTTTAGAGAGTAAGAAATAAACTGTTATATGTAAAGCCACTGAGATTTGGGGTCTTTTTTTTTATTACCATAGCATCACCAAGCCTAATTTACTACCATAGCATTCTAGAATGTCTGTTTTGTTATTTACATAAAATAATTCATGGATCTTCTCTCACATCTTTCTTCAGATTGTTTTAGAGGTGAACATTTATGCCATAGTAGAAGGAAATGTTATTTTGTTTTTTGGTTTTTATGTAATAACTGAGGAAGAGAGAGGTTTAGCATAACATTTTATGCTTATCAGCAATGCTGACTGTTGGAAAGTAAGACTATTTCATTATTTCTCTGATTACAGCCAAAATAATATTCCAGTAAATTGTTCAGGGAGGAATTTTTAAAAGCACTCTTGGGGACTTGGTAAGGAAGAGGAATGCTATTTTTTTTTTGGATATAAGTATAGATGATATGGTAAAGCAATATGGAAATATGTAGAGGACAATAGATTAAATAGATTTATGTGAACACTTAATATGTAGCCTCCATATTGAAAACAAAATAATCTATCCCTTATGTGAAAAGCACTGAAGTTTTTATTAGTGACTTGCTTATATGATTCATAAGAAAGTTAAAAATAGAACTACCTTATCCAGCAATGGCTCTACTACATATTTACCCAAAGGTTACAAAAATGCTAATTCAGAGGGGCATATGCACCCAAATGTTTATAGCAGCATTATCTATAGTAGCTAAATTATGGAATAGCCAAAATGTCCAACTGATGAATGGATAAAGAAGATGTGTGTGTGTGTGTGTGTGTGTATCATATATAATCATTCCATTATATTCCATATATATTCCATATAATGGAATATTACTCAGCCACAAAAAAAGAATGAAATCTTGCCATTTACAATGACATGGATGGAGCTAGAGTGTATTATGCTAAGTGAAATAAGTTGCTCAGAGAAAGACACCCACATGACTTCACTCATACATGGAATTTGAAAAGCAAAACAAATGAGCAAAGGGGAAAAAAAGAGACAAACCAAGAAGTAGCCTCTCAATTACAGAGAACAAACTGATGGCTACCAGAAGGGAGGTAGGTGAGGGGATGGTTAAATAGGTGATGGGGATTAAGGAGTACACTTTTGATGAGCACAGGGTGCTGTTTGGAAGTTTTAAGTTACTATATTTTATATCTGAAACTAATATAACACTGTATGTTAACTAACTGGACTTGGATTTCAAAAAAAAAAAAAAAAGGAATATCTTTAGCCATAATATTCAACTAACTTTGGCTATGGGAAGAGAAACAGTGAGAAAATCAACAAGACAGTAGAGGGGAAAGATCAATACAATCTAGTTTAGGAATGTAATCACGAGCACAAAAAGAATTTTAAAGATCTCAGGCTGAAGGGACGCCTGGGTGGCTCAGTGGGTTAAGCCACTGCCTTCGGCTCAGGTCATGATCCCAGAGTCCTGGGATCCAGCCCTGCATCGGGCTCCTTGCTTGGCGGGGAGCCTGTTTCTCTCTCTGCCTCTGCCTGCCACTCTGCCTGCTTGTGTGCTCATGCTCGCTCTCTCTCTCTGACAAATAAATAAATAAAATCTTAAAAAAAAAAGATCTCAGGCTGAAGACAAGGGATTAGATTGAAATTAAGAAGAGTGAATAAAATGCGTTATCTGGTTTTGGATCTTGTAATAGTTTCTTTGTTTATTATAACTTTTTCTGAGGAGAAATTTGCACCTTTGAAAGTTGCACATTGTAACTCTGTAGTCATTTTCCGTTTGATCTTATTTATTTTACAAAAAAATATTGTAGTGTAGGTTTATAGCTACTTTATGAGTCATGAAAATTGTAGTCAGACATTCAAAAACACATATGTATTTTAGAACTGGACTGACTGCTAATTTTTCCTGAGCTGCAAACAGGATGTGTTCTTCAAATGGCTCATCACTTTTACTTGATTCTTTAATAACACCTTAATCTATCTTGTATTAAATAATTATGTACTTATGGGCTCTAGTGGTTTAAAGCACTGGCTTTTGGCTAAGCATTACTTTGAAATTCTCACTCTTCATTTCTTGATATATGACCCTGAGTTCACATCTTTGTACCTCAATTTTCTTAGATACAGTGTCAGAAAAATAATAACATATATCTCTAGGATTGCAATGAGAATAAGACATAATTACATTTAAAGCATTTAACACAATTCCTGGCATATAGTAAATGCATAGTGAGTATTAATTCCCCTTTTCCTCCTCCTACCATCATGATCATCATCATCATCACTATAGTTATTTTTACTATATCATCAACCCCCTACTGTGTTGTAATCTCCTTAAAGGTAGAGGCTGTTTAATCTTTTATCTCTTGCAATGATGGTGCAATGTGTATTGCATATGACAGATGCCTTATGACTTTCATTGAATTGAATTAATTCATCAGACCCTGGGGGATTGGAGAATGTCAGTGAATGCAATGCAACACTATGAGCAGTTGACCTCGGACAACCTGGGGGTTAGTGGCACCAACCACTGTGCAGTCAAAAATTTGTGTATAACTTTTGACTTTTGACTCCCCCAAAACTTAACTACTAATAACCTACTGTTGACCAGAAGCCTTACTGATAACATGAATACTCGATTAACATATATTTTTATCTTATATACATTTTATACTGTATTCTTACAATAAAATAGATATTAAGAAAAGCATAAATTAAAAAATCTT